GAATCCATGGTTCATTTTCTCCTTGATACAACATAGGCACGCGGGGCATCCATAGCGCCATCCATTTTATGACATCTTAAGTAAGCCTTCACAAGAATAAGATCTATTCTTCTTTGGTCTATAATATCGGCCATGGCTTTTACAAAACTCTTCGAATGGTGCCTTGTTTCGAAGATACAACTTTAAGAATACACTCTTTCTACACTTGAAGTGACTTTTCACTTACACATACAACAATGGTACAAATCCTATGAAGTGTTTTACTCTTTTTCGTCTACATAAATTCAATAACCTAATAGTTTCAGCCAAAACTACTAGTGAAGGATTAATTGTTTTGGTTTGAATTGTTTAAAAAAATCCACCATGATTATTTCGATGTAGTCCAAAGTCTTCAAAAAGATCACCATGCCATATATTGCCAAAGCAAAAATGGTCATGCCTTTATCATTATTTAAATGCTCTTGAACAAAATTATAGAGAAAATCCAAACGGATATCGAGATGTTCACCCTTAGGTTTCACAAAAGAATCTATAGTTTACACTTTAACCCCTATAAGCTTTGCCAATTTTTTACAGTAACCTAATTTTAGCTTTTAGGTAAACACTTTGTCTGAATGTTATAGTTCTAGCCTAAGCAAAATCGAGTACACCTTGATGGTTGGCACTAAATCCTCTTAATTAAAAGTGAAGCACCTATAGGATAGATCTTAAAATTGTATAGTCACTCTAATCAACTATTCCTTGATCACCACCAAAATGAGGTATGTAATCTACCCATCTTTTCATAAAACTTTTCCTTTCGTTCTTCACTTAATTGACCCCAGATGATGGATAAGTCTTTTAATTTACTCTATGTGAGATCCAAATGCACCTTTTTGGGCTACCTAGACATATAATTGGTAAGTAAACAATCTTCATTCTTTCGTTAAGTTTCTTTTGACCAAATATGTACCTTATTATATGACTCACATAGGACACTGATAAACGATGAGCAAATCTATAGTTCTATAGGATCCATAAAAAAGAATTCTAAGAAGAAGGGCATCATAAAACAAATATCTCAACATGAAACTACATGATGCAATTTATGCAAAAGAAAAAGAAAAAAAATAGACAAAATTAAGTTAGTATAAAGATTTGGTTCAAGATTAGAAAAAATTAATTTTCCTTTAGTTATAGGCATTTATGGTGCTCCATAACCAAACAAAATAATTTTTTTTTACTAATCCCTTATTATTTATGTATTTTAAAAAATTGCTCTTCTTTTTTTATGAGTTGTTTTTGGAACAAAATACCTTCTTTTTCATTTTTGCTCTTTTTTAGTGTTTTTTGTTTCTTTTTTTAAACACATGTTTTTTTTTTTTTTGTGAAAATATCTCCTCATTTGTCCTAAACTTTGGTATCTTCTACAACCAAGTTGACGAGGCTCTACTTAAGGTTAGTTTCTTACGACTTAGTATATGCTTGGTTTAGATCGATATGCATCTAGAAGTTTCCAAATAATTATTCACTGTCGTTTACGCTGAACTAATAAGGCACTTAAATCCTCATCCATCATAAGCTATGAATGAAAAAAGTTCAATTTGAGTGGAAGTATTTCATTTGCCATTGTGGAGGTTATCACCTCACGAAAGTATAGGTATTGTACTCTCTCTTATAAAGTACAAACCCCAGGTATAAAGGTCATCCATGAAATGCTATGTATTATTGTGTGTGCGAGGGGAAATAACACAAATACCTTACAATTTATTGAGAATAATTTGTACAAAATAATTAAATAAAATTCAAGTGATTTTATTTATTTATTTATTATCATTATTGTTTTTTTTAATTTAAAAAAATTAAAACCAAGGGAATTAAAGTTAAATACCAATTAAGATCATTGAATCAAGACTAAGGATAATTCATAATTATTTTTTGGCTTAACTCTTTATAAAAAAGTGTCCTCAACAAAGTCATTAAGCTATTATAACAATTTTATGAACCATTAGATAAATTTGAAAAAAATAAAGACTTGCCATCAATTTTTTTGTTTAATTTTGAATTCAAATTTTGGGACTGTCATAATGGTTTTGAGAATCACTAGATGAAATTTAAAAAAAAAATTCACCACCAATCTTTTTTAGTTATGTGTGATTAATTAACTATTAAAATATATCTTTTTAATAAAATCTTAAAATTAATTAAAATTTATTAAAAAATAATTTTAATAGGCAACTAATCACACTTAAACAAAAAAAAATGGTAACGACTCCTTGTCCATTTAAAAAGCATAGAGTCAAATTTTTCTAATTTAATTTTCATGGGAAAATTTAAAAGAAAGTTTATTAATTGTTTGTCTTTAATTTGATTTGTCAACATATCCTGTTATACCTTAATTAATGGATTAGAAATTAATCTCTTATTTGCCATTCCATACAAAATGAAAATATATAGGGTTTGAAGAGGTTTTATTTCCTATTTCTCAAATGACGAAACATATGCCTCGATTAAGTTTGAAGAGGTTGTTTCCTATTAAAAGGAAATTTCATATCCGCATAACTTTATTTCCCAAGTTAACCGCCTTATCCATATAAGTACGTAAAATTAATTAGAAAACCAATGGTAAAAGACAACTCAATAAATATTGAAAATGATAAATATGTGATACAAATAAAAATTGAAAATATAAATTTATAAACGTTTCACATCACCTGAACAATTTTAAAATATAGCTGATATTTTTATCAAAACTATTTTTTTAATTAATTTCTTCATTCATAAAGTAGTACTCTTTATTCTAAAAAACATGGCATTGGAGAATTTGATTATAAGATTCTAGTTAAGGATGGGAGGCTCAGTTGATGTGTAAAAAGTAGTAGTTAAACTTTTTTTTATATATAGATATTCGACTGAGTAAAAGTTGATGAAATTAATAGATAAATTTATTAAAGCATATACTACCACGTAAAAATTTGTATACAATAATAATCTATTTGCTTTATATATCTCTCATCTGCACTGCACATGGTCTAAATCTAAGTAAATCAAATTTTCACTTCTCTTTTTTTTTCAACAAACCGATAAGTTTTCTTAATACCAAAAAAAAAAAAAAAAAAAGGACACCGATAAGTTATAAAGTAGAACTTATATTAAGATATATAGATATATGCTCTAATTAAAAGGTGACTTCAATTGTTATACATTTATTCGTTCTATTCGCATTTTGCTATTTGTTTTTTAATATAAAATTAAAAAATAAAAGACAAAAATAAATGGATCAAAACAAAGAACAAATAGCAAAAAATAAAAACAAAAACAAAAATACTAACTGAACGAAATGTCAAATATCATATATTTTGTTAACAAATTTTACTATAAATACAATCCCTAATCTTCCCCCTTTTTTTTTTTTTGGATAAAATCATAATTTATCCTTATCAAAATTACTTATAATTTTTAGGTAAAAGTGGTATTACTTCTAGGATCATATTAGGAACTAAGAAGAAATATCTGAACTAGTAAACGTTGACAAGATATGGAGGAGCTTTATTAGGAAAATTTGTTACACCCAACAGAATCCTCATCAAACTCTTTTTAATTTGCTTACAACAAATTTTACATGCAAAGCTCTTAGTCTTCTGCCTCATTTTTTTTTTCTATTAGAAGTGTAAGGTTTCTGTGTGGAGAGAAAGAGATAAAAAAAAAATTAAGAGTTCAACACACATTAGTTCATACATTTTGTTGAGACAAGGAAAATTGTGAGCTTAAAACTCTCTTGGATTCAAGTTGCAATCCATAAATGACAATAGGCTTTGCCGGATCATTTTCTACCTTCCCGGAAAGTGGAGTGATTTCACGGCCTATTCTCTCCCTCGCCAACCTCGACATCGGTTCTTCACCATCACCGGAGTCTTTAACAATCCCCGAAGACGTTACCTTGTCAGTGACCAAGTTTCGTAAAAGGTTAGTAAGCCTAGCTAATGCTTGCAAGTTGTAATATAAATTTTCCTTTGAAGAATTTTTCATATACGAATGGAAAAGACGTATGAAGTTAGGCTTTGATCTTAATTAGAATACATCATGACATTTACATAACATGAAGCTTTAGTTTTATTGCGTAGAAAATTATCAATGATCTAGTAGGGGAAGTGTTGGCATTGATGGGAAACTGTTCAATTTCATAAAAATAATTCTATTATATCTTTTTTTTTTTTTTGCACAAAAGAGATCGTAATATAAGAACAAAGAAAGAGATTATATGTGTAACGACTTGAACCCTAAATTTATTAGATACCATCGATTATAGATAATTGCATGAATCACTTAATTAAATTCCGGATTCAAAGTTCTATTAATGTTGCCTAAGCCAGGAAAACATTTAGCTTCAAATATCTATATTATTTATGGAAAAAGATTATATGCTTTCAGTCATTATCAATCTGGATGGAGCAGCAAATTTTTTCTCCTTTTTCCATGGAATGTTCAAAGGAGATCAATTGATCCTTTCACATCGCTGTTACCTTGTATAGAAAACTTACAACCGCAACTAAGGAAGAAGAAAAAAAACTTTTTAAACATGGTAAAAGAAGGGAGTTTCCTTCAGCTGATACCCTTCCTGATAAATAAAATTTCAGTTCTTTTGACATGGTTTTAGGAATATAAGTTTGACAAATTTGATTGTCTAACTCCATATGATTTGACAATTTTGGTTATCTAACTCCATATGATTTTTGTTTTTGCTTTTGTATATAAATCCAAAACTTTTCTCTTTAACTGCATAACATCTATTTTTAGCACTTCATCTTAAAGTTGTTAAGGTTCTTTTCCCTGGTTATAAATTTCATCCAAGAAAATGTTTAGATATTATCTTCAGAATTCAAATTCGGTTCCAAGTATATAACAGATATAGAAATTTTAGCATTTGACATATTATCAAATTTCTTTGCTCTTGGCTCATATCCCAATTTTATTTTCCCACTTTCAGTTTCTTCACCTTACCCACTTTTGCTTTTTAATATGAAATTTTGGTTCAATGTGTAAGGCAAATTTTTACTACTTGTAAAATGTATTTGGCAGCATTTGAAAAATGAAATGGTTTGAAATGTATTGGATGAACAAAATCATCATTGCTACTCAGATTTTCGTGTGAATGTACAGTTTATAACTGTTCCATATGCTTTGTGATGAAATTAATAAGTGATTATCTATAGACAGAAGAAAGAGCTGATCATATATATATATATATGAGAGAAGAGTGAAATTTAGGAGTGATTATCAATAAAATTTGAAAACCTTAAAATTGGATAGAGAGAGAGTAATGGAATATCACTTTCAAATGAAAATAAAATCCCACTGACCAAGATTTCATGAAAGAAATGACCTAATATGTGGCATACACTCGTCCATGCAAACTTCTCTGCTATAGTCCACCAATATTTCTATCCATTTTTTTCCTGAAGAAATTTTTTTTTTTTTCTTGAGTTGAGATCATAAAGTCAATTTCTCTATCCTTTTATGTTATTTCTCCTATATATATTGGACTCTTTCCTCACATTCTTCTCATACCACCCTTTAATCTCTTCTCTCTTAATAAATAAGAAAACTTCTTCCTTTCTATCTGTTATTAGCTTCCCTTGAGTAAGTTATCTTTACAAGGTCTCAAGGTTAATAGTACAATTAATTATCTCTTCCTTGCCCTCTTGTTTGAAACTTTCAATATACTCTGCCCTTTTTTTTTTTCTATTTTCATGATTTTCATGGGTATACTATGCCTCAATTATATTCATATATATATATATATATATTTATTAAGAAACGATTGTTTTTGTTACTCTTTTTTGCATGGTTTTATTCATCTCTGTATGGTTTTTTGCAGAAATAACTATCTATGGCTGCCATTGAGTACTCTTCCAATGAGATTGAGATAAAGGTTGGCAAACTAAACTAATAGTATTAAATTTAGTTCGAGTCAAGTTACTACTTTTTTTTTCTTTCCTCTAAAACAAGTAAGAGGTACCTTTGAGAAGATGGTTCTGATCAATCACTACTAAGATCATCATGAAAGTTGTTACAATTGCGAAGTTAGTTGAAGTAATCCTTTCTTGTAAATATGGTACTGTCTTGCTGATTTTCGGTGCATGCATTATCCATTAGCTTTCTTCTCTTAATATTCTTTACTGTCAATCTTTTTGAGAAATGATTCATTAACATCCCAACTAGATGGGTGGAACTTCTATTTCAATATGGCCAAAGCAGTTTTGGTTACTTAATTGACCTTGCATTGTCTAAAGTCATTATAATTATTTTTCTTGATTGATCTTATTCTATTATTGATAATGACAGGTTAATGAAGAAATTATTAGCTCTAGACAAGTGGAAGCTGTGAATGAAAATAAGAATACCGATGGAAAGAAGAAGCTGAAAACAAGTAATTCTCTTACCAGGAAGAAATCAGGAGGATGGAAATATGCAAGTCTCTTGCTAGGTATTTCTCAGTTACGCTGCTAATAATTTGTTTTGTTACATTTACATGAATTGTTCTTTTGTTTATTGCTTTTCTTTTGTATCTCTAGAAACTTTGAGAAATGAGTCATCTTCATTTCTGGTGCAGTGAATCAAGGCCTAGCAACATTAGCTTTCTTTGGAGTAGGTGTGAACTTGGTGTTGTTCTTAACCAGGGTTCTAGACCAAGAAAATGCTGATGCTGCCAATAATGTTAGCAAGTGGACTGGAACTGTTTACCTCTGCTCTCTGATCGGAGCATTCCTTAGCGATTCGTACTGGGGTCGGTACTTGACATGTGCTGTCTTTCAGCTCATACTCGTGCTGGTAATATAAATCTACAGATTATAGAATCACCTTCCTGTGATCTTGATTTATGCACTTGATTTAGTAACTTATAGCTGATTGACTGTGAAATGTTGTCACAGGGTTTGGGGCTACTATCACTTGCTTCTTGGCTTTTCTTGATCAATCCTGCGGATTGTGGTGATGGAATAAAAGTCTGCATGCCCTCATCATCAGCTGGTGTCGGCATTTTCTACTTATCAATATATCTGATAGCCTTTGGATATGGCGGGCATCAACCAACCATAGCCACTTTTGGAGCAGACCAGTTTGATGATTCACATCCGAAAGCAGCAGACTCGAAAGCTGCATTCTTTTGTTACTTCTACTTTGCACTTAACGTCGGATCTCTATTTTCAAACACTATACTGGTTTACTATGAGGATTCAGGAAAATGGACGCTAGGCTTCTTGGTTTCGTTAGGCTCTGCAATCATAGCCCTATTATTGTACTTGTTGGGGACAGCAAGATATAGGTATATAAAACCATGTGGCAATCCACTGCCACGCGTAAGTCAAGTATTCGTCGCTGCATATAGGAAGTGGGATGTTGTGCCAGCTACTGCTAATGCCTTGTATGAGGTGGAGGGAACAGAATCTGCCATCAAAGGGAGCAGAAAAATTCTCCATAGTGGTGATTTCAAGTAAGTATTTACTACATATGGTTAAAGTATAGTATTTGATCAGTGATAAAGAGTTCTCTCTCTCTCTCTTTCTCTCTCTCTCTCTCTCTCTCTCTCTCTGTGTCTCTCTCTATATATATATATAGTAATGCCAACGAATGAAATTGTTCTTAATTTGCTGATGTTTCTTTATTTAGGTTGTTAATTAAGTTAATTGAAATTGACCTGCAGGTTCCTGGACAAGGCGGCTACAATAACGCAGAATGATTTGTGTGGACCAAACGATCCATGGAGGCTCTGCACTGTAACTCAAGTTGAAGAAGCCAAATGTGTCCTAAAAATGTTACCCATTTGGCTCTGTACTATAATTTACTCTGTCGTCTTCACACAAATGGCATCGATTTTTGTGGAGCAAGGAGATGTAATGGCCTCCAAACTTGGAGACTTCCACCTTCCTGCTGCCAGTATGTCTGCTTTCGATATTTGCAGTGTTCTCATTTGCACTGGAATCTATCGTCATATCCTCGCGCCCTTGGCTGGAAGATTAAGTGGAAACCGTAAGGGATTGACCGAGCTTCAAAGAATGGGCATTGGACTCATTATTGGAATGTTTGCAATGATTGCTGCTGGTGTCACAGAGATACAAAGACTTAAATTTGTGACCCCTGGTGAGAAGAAAAGTTCTTTAAGCATATTTTGGCAAATTCCACAGTATGTTTTTGTTGGTGCATCTGAAGTTTTCATGTACGTTGGTCAATTGGAGTTCTTCAATGGACAAGCTCCGGATGGTATTAAAAGCTTTGGAAGCTCCCTTTGCATGGCTTCCATTTCTCTTGGCAACTATGTTAGCAGTTTATTAGTTAACATGGTTATGGGGATTACAGCAAGAGGTGAGAATCCTGGTTGGATTCCATCTGACCTGAATGAAGGCCATTTGGACAGGTTCTACTTCCTTATTGCAGCTCTAACTGCTGTTGATTTTATAATCTATGTGTATTGTGCTAAATGGTACAAGTGCATCAACCTTGACACCGGCGAGAAGGAAATTCAATTGGGAGAACAACAAAACGATATGCTCGTAAAAGTTTAGTTTGCAAGCTCCATTTCGCTTTTTAACACTCAAGATACAATCGAGTGACAACTTTTGGAGCTAGCACCTTTATAGTTGTACCCTTGTTAAATAACGTTTTCGGAAAGAATCCATTTCCACACGGGAGGCATGACCTTTACCTGCATGATTGCCTCCTTGGTATGGTAGTACTTTCGTCTTCAATGTGAGGTTGAGGTTGGTAGAGTCCATTAGCTAGTTGGTGGACTTGGTTATGTTTGTTTGTTGAAAATTTTTAAATTATTTTTCTTCTTCTTCTTCCCCTGTGCTTGATTTATGATCATGATAGTGGTAATTATGATTATTCCTGCTCTCTAATTTACTCAAAAATCAAAGGGTCTAAAAGCTTTAGCAGACGAAAATATTGGAAATTTTTGTTATGATCAAAAGTTCATTGGTCAAGTAAAGTGCATAAGCTTTGTGATCTGTTCTGGTCATCAATCCCTCTCAGGTTGAATGCTTTCTTGAACGGGGAAAACAATTGGAATAGGACAATTGGTTTGAATGTTTCTTTCTAACATCTTCCAATTAATTGATATATCATGATTGAATGATAACTAAAGTTGAACTTATTCTAGCCAGCAGTGTTGATAAATATATGGAAGTCTTCAAATCACGAAATTGTGTCCATGCACATGCACTTTGGAGTCATCAACTTGCTGAATCCACTTTGATGGCACTTTGTTTAGTGTAATTAATTGATAGATACTAATCAGAAATTGCATTTGGACTTTGTGAGTTGTAGCCTTTGACATGAATGAGCTTCATGTCCTTGATTTAAAGCCATAAATTGACAGAAACTTTAGCATATGCTGATGTTTAACATCCAGAAGAGAACAAGTGAAAAGATGACTACCAACTCTTAAAGTGGGGGCTTCAAGTGGACTCCAAAAACTTGGTCATTATGTGAGATGAAACCTCCCCTAGAGGCCATCTAGAAAATGATATACGGGTCCATTTGGCTGTCCCCATATATGAAAAGTTAGTATGAGAGTTTTGGCACCGTTACTTTGAGACCCTGCACATGATACATACAACATTGTTTTCATTTGCGTATACAAGATTGCACCATAAATGAGAACTAAATAATTAAGCAAGCGTAACCATCTTCATATAATTGCCAAATTCGTGGAAAGGAGGCCCCAAGTATTTTCTCCACTATGTATAATTATAGTGGAGATGGGCAGGTAAAAACACGTGGAACTCGAAAAAGTAATCGGATTATATGTAGTCTCTGTTTGGTGCTATGTAGTGCTATGTGTTTTCACGTCATGCTATAAGTGTAGAACCTCACATGGCAGTAGCATATCCATGAGGACATATGAACTGTGAAGAAGAAAGCTCTCAAGACTCTTCAACATATGAAATTCCAAAGCGAGGTTTAAGAGGGTCATCCTCTAGAGAAAATAGCCTATTAGATGCTGGTGAGTAACTAGCTTGTTCAACTGTGTGAATAGTCCTTGCCAGTTCATGTGCTTGGCCCAATTAATCTTTTCAAGACTTCAAGTCTCATCATCTTTCTAATTATCTTAGGATTCAAACCATCGATTGACACTCTGACTAGCAGTTTACTTGTTTTGCAACAAAGGCTTCTTTGATTAATTAATTTTTGACATCATTTAGTTAGGTCTGCTCGCTTCTGAAATTGCAAAATCTTCCATTTTCAAACTTCTTTTATCAGTTATTTTCCTTTTTTAATTTCACCTTCCAAAGTCTTTATTCATTTGTGTCATTTTGATCTGTTATAACACGGAGAAAAATCGTATTTAATTATAAATCCAGTCCATTGAAGATTAAGTTCAATTTTTATATATATTTAGTTGCAAAATTTTACATGTGAATTAATGCGTAACACAGCAACTAAAAGATTTAAACAGCAAGGCTACGCTGTCCTATATACACCGGATCAGAGATTACATTCATATCCTCTAATTTCTGTCAATATTTGTGGAAAATGGTTCAATGAAATTTTTAGGAGTGTATCTATTTTGCATGCTGATACCTTCTTTTTCTCCTTTCGAAATCCCAACTTTTGTACAAATAGGAATGAAAGAAAAGGAGTACTGCAGCATAAATTTCACAACCTATAGCTTCTATTAAGGTTAAAGCGGATTTGCAGACCTACATCTTCTACCAATTCTAAAAGTGGAGGAGACTGTTAAATAAGATAGAATTTGCTATGTAAATTGTCAATGACATGAAAGCAGTAAGTATGTGGTGTTTTAGAGGTTCGTTCAAATTTCAAATTATATACAGAGTAATAGTGGTATTCATCTGCACCACAAACTGATATGCTACTTTCTTGCTGTCCAGTTTTCACCTTCCCCACTTACTAAAATGGATGAAATCCTAGAAGCATACGGGCCTTTGGTGGCTAGAGTCTTATTTCTTATTGGTTCAGCCTTCTGCTTGCAACTCATCTAAACAAGAAACCAAAGATGTGGAATCTAAAGAGGAAAAAGACTACTAGCTACATATACACTGCATCGAACCCTACACAAACTTCGCAGTCATGATCATTTCCTGGATAAATATTTAGAAAAAAAAAAAAGTAGTGTTTTCACATCATATTGGGGCATACCATGCAACTCATTTTCGTTGATTTTTGAAGATTTTCGGTTCATTTGAATTTCACTGAACCATCAATTCAGCGCGTTTGAATCATTTTTACTTCAATCTTATTGCCAATAAATATTTGGATATAAAAAAAATGATGCAGTTTGATCATTTGACCCGCACTGAATGGGCTGAATTCCATGGGAGGAAGAAGGATCTAGGACTACTAGACCCTAAATTAGATAATTTTATCCTCCTTAATTTAATATATTTTTTAAAATACCCCTAATTTTAAAACTCCAACAATTTCAACAAAATTCAATCTTAATATACCTTTTAATCTAAAAGATATTTCACTATTTATTAAATAAAAATTTAAGATTTTAACTGTTAAATAACATTAATATGTATACATTAATTCTCAAATAATTAATAATAAAAATATTATTTGATATAAATAACTTTATTAATTTTTAACTTATTAATAAAATATTATTTGATATAAAATAATTTAATACTTTTTAATTATTTATTAATTTAAAATATCAAAGATTTATTATAAATGTTATTATATATAACTTTTAATTTAATATTTTTAATGATTTTTTTTCTTTACATCTTATTTTATCGTGATTGTTGTATTTATATTTAAATATATATATTATTATTAATTTTAATTTTATTATTATTATATTTAATTTCTTATACACAATAATTATTTTTATTTTTATCGATATTTTTAATTTCATAAAAATCAATCACATCCATTGTTCAAATGAACTTTTAAACCGTGATAAGGAAAGAATATAACCTTTCACGTGTAATTCAAACCAGAAAATGAGAGCGCACCAAATCTGCTAGTCCAGGAAGCACCAGGTGGCTGATGCGACAGCCTGACAAGTCATATCAGTCTCCGCATATGTCAGCCGAAAACTTATTCAAAATTGTCTTAAATGTAAGAGATCCAATTTGATTTTATCAGTCGTAGAGTGTCATTCACTGCCTTAATCATGGTAAATTATGATGTGAAATAAGAGATATGCATTTTTAGACCACAAAAAGATAGAAAGGTACATGGAGATTTATTCGGATTCTTATATATAGCTTTTGGAAAGGTAGCAATAGTGATCATCTCTTCTTATCTCATCGTTTTGAGGACAAACATAAATTTTCTGCTATGAATATCATGGAAAATGAGAACAAATTAAGGAATAGTGGAAAGGTTGACCTGCAGTGACTATCTATCTTGGATGTCTTTAGCCACCAACTTATCTTGTAATTTCTTGGTCACTGTCAGATATCACAAGAGTTTAAGCAGTGGCCATAAAAAAGCCAGCAATTTTGTGAGTGAGGCATTTAAGTTTCATTTGAATGTGCAAATACTAAATCGCTGAAGTATCCTCTCTTGACAAAGAAGCTCCGCTAATATTAATCCTTTAAAACAGAGGAAGTCTGGAAGTTGTAATTTGCTGGGAACTGTTGGAATATTGAATACCAGTTTCAATTTCTGACAGATTTCAAGCGTCTGTCACTGCAAAAGTTTATGTATGACAAAAAAAAAAAATTAATGCTAGAAATAATCTTTAAATTATTATAAAATATTTAATATATATTTAAATTTTAAAAATTTTTAATGTATTATTTGAAATATAAATATATTAATTAATATAATATTATTTTTAACGTAATTAATTTTAAATAATAATATATATTTATAAATAATTTTTTAAATATTATATTAATAATTTAAATATCATATTAAAAATTTATAAAATTTAAATATAAATATTATATTAAAAATTTTTAAAATTTAAATATTATATTAAATATTTTATTATAATTCATGAATCATTCCTAAAATTAACCGAAAACAAAACAAAGGAAAAGATCATTATCTTATATTGACCATCCATGGAGTGTAAGGACTTCATCAACCTATCCAGACTTGTGCCATTGGTCAATTTATCAATTATTTTGTCCTGAATAGTTCAATTATTTACACATAGTACAAGGTAATAAATAATTACAAATTTATAAATTTTTATTTGTTATGAATAATCAGATGATGCAACCAGCTCAACTGATTAGGGTATGATCAGGGTTTGAATTCCCCTTCTCCGGGGTTTGCCGGAAGTATCCAATGTTAAATATATCATTAAAGAAAAATATGAATCAGTATCATAGTAGGTTAATTCTATATATAGAACCGGCATCTGACAAAAAGCAAGTTTCATTTGTGCGTGTGTGTGTATTTTTTTTTTTTTTCTAATGCATGTGACGTATGTTAACTGCCATTGCCTAGCAAGAAACCACATCTAGTGTTACAACCAAAACTAAAGAATTAAATTCCCCTCTTCTTCTATGGCTAAATTTATCACTAATGAACAAAATTTCCCTCCCCATGCAACTGAAAAAAAAAAATAGAAACCCCCGGAATTCAGTATATCACCTTTATATATATATATCTTTTGAATGAAGCATAAGACAAGTTTGCCACAGTTTCCATCACAAAACCCTCATTTTTATCATTAAAAAGATACAAGTCAAATGGTTTTCATAAAATTCCAAGGAAAACAAACTTCATGGTAGTAGTTGACAGGAAGTAGCCTTTTATGGTTCTTTTTAGAGAGTTTACTTGGTTGAGTTGGGGAAGGGGCCCTGATTTTTTTGTTATACATACATAAATCAAAACCTA